GTCTTTGTATATTGATCTGTCCTTTTTGTTAATTTTATAAAACCTTATATTGATTTTGGATAATTGCGTATGCTAAAATTTGAAATTTAGCCTAAACTAAATTATTGAAGATGATACTGTAATTTCATGCAAAATACAATTGGAACAATATAGTAAAATAACTTATATTGTATTTCACTAGATTCAAAAAGTAAAATTTAAACTGATGTTAAGATCACTATCTCTCTTCTCACTGTGATGGTGTGATTTCTATTCTTTTGTTATCAATTTCCCGTTCACCCGCCCAAATTTGGGAATTAGGATCCTCCAAATTTATATTGCGAAAGGCAGACATTTTTAAGATCAAGTGATCAACAACCCATTATAGTGGGCAATTCAATCTTTCACACACTTGCTTTTGTCTGAAGAAAGTGTCTTCTTTAAGCCACTTTTTCAAATTTTATTTTATTTTTGGACTAACATAGTTGGCAATGTGTTGGAAATAGACAATCTAAGATGTCATTTTCTTGCTTAGGTCCAACAAATTTTGATGAAAACCAATGTTGCCTCACAAACCATGTTTTGACAAACACTACAATTTTACAGTAGAGTTCCATACAGTAAACATATTGTCAACCTACTCCCGTTACTACAATATCTAATAAAACTTAAAATAATGAATTGCTTTTATTGCACGAATCACTTTTATTTGAGAAGATCCTATAGGGTGTTCAAAAAAAAAGTATATTTCTAACAAAAATATAAAACTAGGCAGGTAAAGTAAAGGATATTTATCTTTATACTAACATGTTATTATTTTCCCTACTTGATCCCATCTCAGTTCTTCTCCTCTATATATATCCCCACATTTCATTGCATTGATTCTCTTACAAAATACCCTCTCTCAGTCCTTATCTCTCTCTACCCACCATGTCTAAAATGTTTAGCAGAAGTGCAACGATCAACTATGTTGTTTTTCTTCTTTGTTCCTTAACATTCTTAGGTATCTTCTTTGTGTATATATAGCTTATTCCTGTCTAGCAAGAAAAAAAAAAACCATTATTTTAATTTTAACTTGACATTACATTTTTCTCAAAAAAAAACTTGACATTACATTTCGTGTAATTTATGTTCCATTTTTTTTTCACAGAACATGGATTGTTTCTTCAAAGGGTCTCCTCTCTTGGTATAAACTACGGTCAAGTAGGCGACAATCTTCCTCCACCAGACAAAGTTCTACAACTCTTGGGGTCACTCCATATTAACAAAACAAGAATCTACGACACAAACCCTAAAGTCTTAACCTCATTCGCCAATTCCAACATCGAGCTCTTCGCCACCGTCGAAAACCAAATGCTTCCCAGCTTAGTCGACCCTCAACAAGCTCTCCAATGGGTCACGTCCCGTATCAAACCCTACTTTCCGGCCACCAAGATCGGCGGTATTGCTGTCGGCAACGAACTATACACTGACGACGACTCCAGCCTCATAGGGTTTGTTACATACATTACCACATTCATTAACCTTTCAAGATTCTTGACGTACTTAATTTGTTATGGCTACGCAGATATCTTGTACCGGCAATGATGAGTATTCATGCAGCTCTCGTCCAAACCGGTCTAGACAAGTACATTCAAGTATCTACTCCGAACTCACTTTCAGTCCTTCAAGAATCTTACCCTCCCTCCGCGGGATGTTTCAGGCCACAAGTCGCTGGCGTTATGACGCAGCTTCTAAGTTTCTTGCATAGCACGAAATCCACTTTTTGGATCAATGCTTACCCTTACTTCGCTTACAAGGATTCCCCAACAAAGATCCCATTAGATTATGTTCTCTTCAACCCTAACCCTGGAATGGTTGACCCCTACACCAAGTATCACTACGACAACATGCTCTATGCTCAAGTAGACGCTGTGATCTTCGCCATGGCAAGGCTTGGCTTTAAAGATATCGAGGTTGGAGTCTCAGAGACTGGTTGGCCGTCTAAAGGCGACGGAGATGAGGTTGGAGCCACCGTGGCCAACGCGGCAGTTTATAACAAGAATCTTTTGAAGAGACAACTTCAGGGTGAAGGAACTCCATTGAGGAAAAACATGAGACTTGATGTTTATCTCTTTGCTCTATTTAATGAAGACCTTAAACCAGGACCAACCTCTGAGAGAAACTATGGATTGTTTCAGCCTGATGAGACCATGGCTTACAATGTAGGTTTATTATCATCATCATCACAGACATCTACTTCTACAACTAATTCCATTGTTTCCCTCACTTCCTCTGCCTCTACGGTATGTTTCAACACTTGACTTGAGTCACTCTCTAGATCCCTATATATTAGTAATATTTATTTTTTATGTGGTCTTTAAGGGTCACATTACATCCCCTAAAAAGTTATTGATCGTGAAAGACTACAAATACCAATTGTGACGTGCAATTTAAAAGAAGAGCAATGTGACGTTTTTCTCTCATAATTGTGACGTTTAATACTTGGAAAGTTGGGCTTTTCTATGATTTATTTTGATAAACAATTTTTAAATTAATTTCTAAAATAATGATAAAAGTTTATTTTTAGCGATATGATTGGCATTTACTAGTGTTTTAAATCATTTGATATTTATGATTACTTTTTTTTTTATAAACAAAAAAATCAAGAAAATCATATATCTATTGTTTGAACTCACCATCTGTGACAACTTTACAAGGAAGTTAACCAATATGACACAAAGACCTTTGTTTCATTAATATTTATGATTACTTGACCATTTGGTTTCTTCCTCACATTGATTAAATGAATATTTGTGGTCTTCATTATTACTTATTCATTTTTATTTATTTAAACAGGACATAAAGAGGGGAAAGCAAGGGTTGATATATTTTAAATGCGTTTACTTGCTGGCCATTCATATGCTAATTAGAAGACTGTACTAGAAGCAGAAACAACAACGAGAGAAATTCTACGTGTATATAGAGAGAGTCCACTAATGCGGTTCATTTTTCAACTAGAAAAATATGTTATAGCCAAAGTGTCCCAGATGATTCTTTAAAGAAACAAAACAATCAAGAAACTCGTTCCGAGTGATAAATTAATTATCTTGAAAATGGATGCAGTACTGCAAAGCAAATCCAGTGTATAAAAAGAAAGTGACCCTTCATAGACCATTCACATTCTGTCCATATAACATAAGAAAGTGTAACATGACAATCAAATACATTGTTTTATAGACTCGCACAAATAAAAGAATATACCATGTATTTATAATTCACTTACTTCTGAAAACTGGAAAAAGTAAGATATAGAAATAATAAAAAAATAGTAAGGGTATTAAAGTGTTAATAATATAATAGTTGAAGGAATTACTGCGAATAATTTATTTTTTATGCAAAAACTCAAGTCCTTTCACCGATTTAATCATGATTGATATAAACCTATGACTAGTATATGAGGGTTGTTCAAAAGAAAAACGAAACAAAATATGAGTTTGAAATTAATTTTGAAGGTGAACAAACTTTTTAGGAGCAATAATATATAAAACTAATTATTATTACTAAACAATTCAATATAGATTACCATTTATTGTAAGACCACAAATATTACTTTATAGTACAGTTATATCATATGTTTTCATCATATATGTATTTTATTGGTTGGTTATACTGAAGGAGGTGAAGGCTCTTTATCTTTTGGACGTGGAATCCATCACCCTTAGACTTTACGATTCCTTCCTTTTCATCTCGGTATCTCACTGTCAACATTTCTTTACTCTTTAGTGTATTTTTATCTGATACTGCATCCAAAGGACACACACATGCATTCTATATATGCATATACGTTTACATGACATTACATAAGACAAGTAAGAGCTACATAAAATATGTGGAAAGTGTACATTTTGTGTTTGGAATATTCATCAGTTCACCATTAAGTTACCTATTTTATTGGTGGTAAAAGAGCAATGCTTGCTATTCCTAACGGGATGAACCGAAATTTGTTTTATTAAGAGGCATATAAATAGATATGGACGGTCCCAACTCTCAACTTTATTCCATGGCCATGTGTTTAGTCGTCAGCATTTTGGCGATAGCCACTGGCCGGCCCTTTCCGAAGGTGCTTTCTCTCTTTTAATATTTTTTTTATTTTCTTCTTTTTCCTCCAGTCTCAATTGCGTTAATTTTTCCGCCAACATGTTTATTATATTAGAATATCTTCATCGATTTTTTTTTTTTGAATTATACAAAGATATCCTGGTCTCACAGAAGTGATCCAGACTAGTCACGTGTTACCACGTGTCAGTTCTCTGTGCCTGGCGATGCCAATTTGTATATTCCATCACGGTTTCACTTGACCGGTTATATTGAGTTTCCAGTTGAAATTACAATAACAAATTATCTAAAGAGGTCCATTAAGTTTAGTGAAATTTTGTGAAAAAAAAAACATTTCCTCAATAGCTTTTACATATTTTAATGGTTATAAATATTATAGTCATTTTAGTTGGCGCCGTACAGCTCAGGTTTTCTATTTTATCCAAATTATAATTTGACTTATGTTAAACCCCACAAATTTGTGTAATAATTGTTAACTAGCTAGACACTTTTTGAACATCTTGTAAATGAGAGAGAGATCATCTTATTTGGTCCAAACAAACTTAAATTATTAAAATCCGCCAGTCAGAAATAAAGATCATATATGTTACAAGAGAATCTATTTGTTAATTTTCCTTCATAGTGATCTTGTCACCAACAATAAAATCACGCCGGATAAGTGCATTTTATGGTTATATCCCGTTCACAACAAATATTTTTTCAAAAGAAAAATTTGAGAATTTTTGTGGATGCGCGCACTCATGGTTGAATGAAGTATTTGTCAGAGAGGCTAGTTAAGCTCACTTTAGGTATACAAAATATTGTATACTTATTAAGCAATTGTGTTTATTTTGGACGAAATCATTGTTAACAATAGCATGATCAGTTGACTAAATGACCATACCGATAAAATTAGGCTGGCAAACGATTCCATAAAAACATGATATATAATTTTTAGTTTCTAATCACTAAAACATTCGTTATTAGACTTGCATGATTGCATTTGATCCAAAAAAAAAAGACTTGTATGATAATTACTCACAGTTGACCAATCTGACACCTATTTTATAACCTTATGTTTTTCCAGATTTAAAAACATGCACAGACGTGGTTGCATGTTAGTTGATACTAAAGAGTCTGTGACCCCCTTGAATTTCGAACATATACACATGCTTCACTATTTTGTTCAATTCTATATTTCCAAAAGGCAAAAAAAAAAAAAAAATCAAATCAATAAACTTCCCTTGAAGATTTACATGAATGCAGAGCCCAAAACTGTTCATCAGTCAAGAGCAATAGATCCAAAACTGAAACCAAGTTATTAAAAAGACCACAACACAACTCTAAAAACAACACAACATTTCGAAACAAGACACAAATCAAAATGGTAACAAACTAATAAATCAAAACGAAAGATTTACATGGGCAAAAATGTTTAGAACAAGCAGAAACTATTACACAATAGAACCAAAATGAAACCAAGGTAATACAAAAAACACACTTCTGCTAATAACAACAAAAGAATTTCGGAAACAAGACACAAATCAAAATGGTAATAAATAATCAACTCTTGGATTCTAAACCCTCTAGCTGAGACGATGGCCTCTTACCATCATCAGCATATCCCAAAGAAGGTGGTCGAACCGGAATAGGACTCTCAACATCACTAGCCGAACTCTGCTGAACCAAAACCGGATAAACTTCGGTAGTAGAAACCGAAAGCCGAGAAGGCGAACCGGGAGACGAAGGTTCAGAAGGAGAGACAGGCAACTCAGAAGAAGCTCCAGAAAACGAAGCCATTGAGAGAGTTCTAGTAACCGAAGGATTCACCTCAGCAACCTCTTCAATACCTTCATCGATATAAACAACGTCCTGCATCGTTAACTGATGATACTCAACGATCTCTCTCAAGAACCTGTTCTCCCTCGCGTAAATCGAGTTCTCGTGTGCTAATCTTGCTTTCTCCGCAAGTAACGTCTCGAGCTGGAGCCTGATTAGGTCATCATCCGCTGGATTGGTGTTTCCCTTCTCCCGGTTATCTCTTAACCGTTTGTTTTCTTCCTCGAGCTGCGAACAACGTTGTTTAGCGAAAGCTAGGTCGGCTTTAACCGTTTTTAGTTCGCGTAAGAGGAGCTTGGCTTTGGCCGCTGTAGCCATGGCCACGTCACGAGAGGCTTTGAGTTGAGACTCGTGTGGGCTTGGTTGCGTTAACGGTTGCCATGGGCTTGAATCCACTAGATCTGTTGATCCTTTCTTCTTGATCTGAGACGTTACGATGTTACGGCCTTTCTCGAAACTGTCTCCGATGTGATTCATCGTCTTCTCTATGCTCTTGCGTATGTTATTATTATTGTTATTATTATTATTCGCGGGTTCTGAAACGACAACGTTTCGTTGTTGTCGTTGTTGTTGATGTTTAGCATCTTCTTCTTCGTCCTCCTCGAGGATGGATTTGGCTTTCTGAGCGAGGATTCCCCAGAAGCCGCGGCTCTCGCTGTGAGAATCGGAAGCGCGGATGGCTTGAGCGGCAAGGGAGGAATGAGAAGAGAAAGATTGAGAAGATCTGAAGGAGGATCCGCCATTGGAGTGAACTTTGAGGTCGTCGTGATCTTGATCAGGTTGTTGATTGTAGATATCGTCGTTGAATGTGGAAGCTCTTGCGATCCCTTGTCTTCTCCGATACGCCATTTCTTTTGATTCTTTCGTTTGTTTTGATTCTTTCTTCTCTCTCTTTCTCTCTTTTGTGTGTCACGATTACAATGTTTGATCCTCTGGTGTTACGTAATTCACGTTCTTTTGATATATATTTTATCAATTAGTCAAAAACAAGAGAACCACCATAGAACGTGGCTTGTGAGAGTAATTGGGTCTACTAATGGGCTCGTTAATGCGGTATAATGATGTTGGGCCGTTGGCTCACGAAGGAACATCGATTCAAAAGACGTTCAACCTGCTAAAAACCTAAAAACCTATAGTAAGCCCACGTACTAAACAAAGTGATACAGTTTCTGCCTACAAATAGGGTCAACCTTGAAGAACACGTCCGTAGCAGTAGCATCCGTGGACACAAGCCATGAAAGCATCAGCTTCCAGCCTTTTGACAAAAACATGAAAATTTTCGGCCAAACATCATCAAAATTTTTAGTTAGTTCAGTTGTTTAAATCTTGTTGTAATCATCTCAAAGGTTGTAGGTTTGAATACTCTTAACTTCGTTTTCAAACATTATTTTTATAGGTCTTCAAAAAAATTTATGTTGTTTCCGGCCCAAGTTGTTTTGTTTTTTTTTTTCCAGGACTGGGCCTGTTCCTCAGCCTTAGCCATTGATCAAAAGAACTCCTTTTTTGTTTGTTAATGTGGCATCTGTGAAAGTTTAAAGATACTTTTTAGACAAAACATATGGATTCCTCTAAAACTGTTAGGAAAGAAAATAACCATGCATTGGAATGGATAAATGCATCAGTAACAGATAACAGATTCATAGGCATATCAAGATGAACCATTCATCTTAAAAAATATTATAATAATATATAAATAAAATAAATAAAACTAGGATAAGACCCGCGCCTTGCGCGGAACGAAGCTATTATTTTTATTATGTTTTTAAAAATGAAACAATAGTTCGGTTTCATTTAGATTAGAGGTGTTCAATCCGGATATTAGGTTTCGGTTCGGCTCGATTTTTTGGTATTTCGATCATTAAAATATAACTACTATTCTAAATCTATATGTACTTCAATTTGATTTGGTTTATATACCATCGGTTTTCAGTTTATTTAATTTTATACCAAAAAACATAAATATTTAGTTTGAGATCATATTATATATTATACAAATATATAATATCATCATATTTAGAGTCATATTGTCACAGTCATTTCTTAAAAAAATATTATATATTTAAATAAAAGAATAAAAAACAAAAAGGCTTCTATCATCTAATAAAATGATCAAATATAGAATTAATATCAAAACACTAAATTTTGAAAATAAAAAACAAAACAGAAGCATGAAAGAAAAGTTTTTATATTCTTCCATATTTAGTGTTCATCAAACCAGTATGTCTTCGATTGAACACAACTATGTTTGTTTAAAGATAAAAAAAAAGTTGTAAAGAATTTCAACTAATTGTTGTCCATCAAATTTATAATCTTTACTTCAATTTAGTTACAGTTAAAAAAGCAAAAGATCAAAATAAGAAGTCTTAGTTGTAATAAATTGTTAGCTATTTACAAATTATAATTATAGTTCAACTCATGTAACAAATAGATATTCATGCGTCGTTATAAATATATACANTATAATTATAGTTCAACTCATGTAACAAATAGATATTCATGCGTCGTTATAAATATATACATATTTACATGTTTCAGTTTAATCGATTATAAATCAAACCATATCCAAATCCTATGGTTTTTATAAAATCACATCCATTCGGTTTGTATGGTATATACCAAAAATAACCATATTATCGATTGTTAATATCTTTAAAAATTTAAAATTAAAAAAGAACTAAGATATTTAAATCATTGATAACAAAAAAATTCAATGTGAAAAATTTAATAAGTTTATAATTTATAAATGTTCTTGAAAATTTATTGGAAATTTTGAAATTAAAATATTTATGTAATCTTATATGGTATATAGTTTAATCTGTATATATATATTTGTTTTATTATTGAATGATCTTTTTTACTTATATGGTTTTAAAATCATGTATATCTTTTTTATAATAAAATTTTAAACTATTGATCATTAATTTTTAACATAATAATTTTAATAGTATAGTTATTTATTCTCGTTTCTTAAAATTCAAAATATAACCTATACGAAAAAATCTAAAGTTTAATTTTATAGCTAATTTGATTGTTTAATTTATTTTAATAATATAAAATTAAAGAAAAATGATGGAGGATATATAAACTGTTATCAAATATTTNTATCATATCATTATATCATATAGTTTGACTAACTAATGTATCTAGCAACCTATAAAAATCTAATGTGGACTTACTTATTTTTCAATTGAATCTAATTGACTACCTAATTGAATGACACCTATGCATTGGGGCCTCTTTTAATTAATACAAAATTGAGGTTACATCTTTTCAAATGTTCCTCAATTAATATATAGGGGATGTGTATATGTATATATATATCAATCATATAGTAATGTTTCAAGCTCCATAAATTTTGGGGGGTAAGCTCTCGTAGCAGACTACCCCTATGCAACATAACACAGTCCAACGCAGTTTGGAACCCACCTCTTATTTAATGGTTTTAATTCAACCATGATGTTAGCTTTCGGGATGCAAACGCTCATGTGGAATCAGGTTGGACTGTATATTATGATATAGAAGGAAGCTTTGTAACAGCGGGATCGAGACAAAATCACTCATACTCCTATATCTTAGTCTTTAATTTCTAGGACACGTTTCTTCTTTTAATTTTATATGTTAAACGAAAATCATAAAATTAATCTGGAAATTTGAATTTTTTTTTTGATTTATAGAATTTGATAAAAAATATTTCAAAAATCCAAAAATGTTTTTTTTTATATTTTCACGAAAATCATCAAAATATGATTAAAAACAATTTTAAAATATTTTTTTCGAATTTGAAAAATATAAAATTTAAATATTTTCCCATGGGTTCACTCATCCATAGGGGGGGGATTTGTTTAGTTTTGAACACCGGGGAAGATTTGATTTGGGAGTTTGGGTTTTAATCCAAAAAAAAATTATAAAATAGGAGTATAAGAAATCAAGTGAGTCCATAGGAGATTAGTGTTATCACCCTTAGAGGCACAAGGGACGTTGCCTCCAGCGGGATCTTCTTACTACCAAAAGTGTCTTCTTCTCAAAGCACCGGGATACAACTGTTGGAATTGTGAAAGTCCATGTCCAACTCTATCTTTTCTTATTAGTACGATATTGTCCACTTTGGGCCTGATAGACAAGCCCGCATGGATTTACTTTTGATTTTCTTCCCAAAAGGTCTCGTACTATTAGAGTTGGACATCTCTTTATATATTAGACTCTCATTGTCTAATTCTCCAATGTGGGACTTAGTTTGTTATCTCACATTCTTCCCCTCAAACTAAGGATCACATTTATCTCGTGTCCCACAACTGATTTCCAGGATCTTCTGACTTGATTTCTGCCACCGACCTCTCATTCCTAACTCATAGGATACCCACTCATCTCTCGAAGGGTATTTTGGTCTTCATGTAGATTTCTCGTCAACCGCTCTGATACCAATTGTTTGAATTGTGAAAGTCCATGTCCAACTCTATCTTTTCTTATTAGTACGATATTGTCCATTTTGGGCCTGATAGACAAGCCGGCATGGATTTACTTTTGGTTTTCTTCCCAAAAGGCCTCGTACTATTAGAGTTGGACATCTCTTTATATATTAGACTCTCATTGTCTAATTCTCCAATGTGGGACTTAGTTTGTTATCTCACAACAACCTGCATAGGCTCTACAAATACTATGGAGTCGAGGTTTCAAGTGGGTTGTCATGGAAGTAGACTCTCAACACCTTGTGAAACTAATGAATGGTCGGATGAAAGACATAACAATAACGAAGTTGATCTCTGATATACACTACTCAATCAAATGCTTTGCATAATGGGCATATTTTTATTCTGTAGTGTAAAAGCAATTACTTAAACAATTTAATAATATAGTAAGATAAATATTTTATTTTATATAGTATATATAGCATTTTTAACACATATTCTCTTCCTAAAATAAAATAATTTTCGTATCTCTTTTTTCTATCCTTCTAATTCCGTGAAGTTTATATTGGAAAATATGATTTTTATTAGTCAAAAGTTTGAGTGGGAACGTACCTTTTAAACTCGGTGAAGTGAGGTTATTTTAGTTAAGATTGTATTCATAATTAACTTATAATGGGTTACAAAATCAAGATATGACTTGGAACCCACAAAAGGACTGATTGTGGCCTTGTGGGAGAAGTTTTAACTCAAAAGGTCTCAATTTTCTATGCAAAGAATGTGAAAAGGTTTCGATAAAAAGGAAGAACGCTAGGCAAGAATGTCAAAAAGCTTCACACTCTTACCTTTTCCATGCGTTTGAAAGAAAATTGAGTGGTTAGATATTGGGTGGCTGGCTGGTTTATAGTGATTGGATTTTATACTTTTCGTATAAAACAATTTGTTTTGATCAGTTTTTAATATTATTTTGTATGACCATTTTTAAAGAGTCACAGTTTAAAGTATACACAAAAGTCAAAAGATGTTTCCTAATACAGTATTAATATTATAATCAGATAGTTATATAGTCTATGGAATATAAAGGTCAAATCTTAATTCTTAACAAGTACATATTTTCATTGTTGTTGATTTTGACCACTGTAGATATTACTCTAATAGCTTAGAAATCAACTTCTTCCAAGCATCAACGCTATTGTAGATTTTTACTTAAGAGTGTATGATTTAACGTTATAAAACTGTTAGAAGATATTTATTATTCACTATCGAGCAATATATACCAGCTTGGCGTAAACCTGTCACGGTCAGTTGTGCCAGTGACAATCACACTTCATATATATAAACGTTTTCGTCCAGATTATATATGGAATGTCCCTATTTCCATTTTTTAATTAAACTTCTGCGCAGTAGTTATTTTCTAGGTCTTTTTTTACTAAATTATTTTCTCTGTCTGCTGAAGACGTGCATCTACAGACAAAAGGGCCCATATGAGCTGGCTTTGGACCCCCATAGATGCACTAAGAAAAGCTGCAGTCAATCACATCTTGCTCTTTTTCGTTTAATGAAAACATTTCATTCACATGGAATATTTGGGGATATTTCATAGATTTATTTGTTTTGTTTTGTTTTTTAAACACCTCGAAGAAGAGTAGACTTTTTTTTTCTATCGAGAATGGGATAGAAGAGGAAAATCCAGTCTCATGGAATATTATGAGTTTTTTTCTGTTGAAGGAATATTAAGATTTACGCATCGCATTAGTATGTATCATCTACGCTTCCTGGAAAATGATACGTTCTGTGACTTAGAATCAGAAGTGATTTGTGTTTGTGTCATATGGTTTTCATGAGTCAGAAGATTCTTATTCTTATTGATTGAAGGGTATATATGCAGTTCGATTAGTATATAGAAGCGGTACATGATTTTGTTTCAAAAGTGTATTAGTGTTAAAGTAAGACATGATTTATTTTTCTCAACGTTCTTCAGATATCTAACTTAGAATTAATTAACCATAACTAAATATTTTTTGGTCTTGGGATGATAATATTTTGGTTACATAGAAGAACTGCAGAACAAATCTTTAAAAAAATATAACTGCCGACTTTTGACTCAGAAAAAATGAACTGTCGAACAACAACTCATTTGTTGAACGACCTTATGGTCGGATGGTAGTGGACGGTTTGAGATGCTAACACGTTCATGTTCGATCCATCTATCGCATAAAATTAAATTACATTGTTTTATTCATCTTACACAGATATACATTTATATCTTAGAATTCATTTGAATGTCTTAAAAAATGAATCTATCTGCAGATTTACGACTTTCCTGAATTCAACCAGATAAAAACATTATTTTACAAAAAGGAGTCCAATGCCAGCGCCTACCAGCACTGTAAGTTAAAAGCATCATTTTCATTACAAATGTTTGAGAATTACCAAATTTGTCAGACATGTGAATGGAGGAAAATGAATATGTACAAGTGTACAATCCCTTCTATAATATTAAAAAACAAAATCCTACTAGTATTTCTACCTTGTTACTTTCTCTCTTTTTTTTGGGACAAAGAATGATTTATGATCTTGCTGAAAAATTGTATAAAACGCATAAAATAGTTTATGAAAACAAGTATTCTCGCTAATCACATTACAAGTATTCATTAATAATGTAATATAAAGATTACGTGATTAAATCGCTGTTATTTCTAAGAACTTATAACTCATTCTATTATGTAGATTTTTGGTTTCAACTATAGATTTTTCATTATTCTTTTGATATATTGATAACATATGCACTTAAGGTTTTATTGATAGGGATACACATGTGTTTATTAATGATAAAAGCCTCTAGTATCAATGTATTCTAAAAATACCATATTTGTCTTTTCTCAAATTAAGATAAAATTTTCAAATACTTTCTAATCAGCTATAAGAATTGGGTTTTCAACAAAAAAAGAAGTAAATACTCCATGCAAACAAGTTGTAATTTTGGAACACATCTTTTTGTATTTGAATTATTTCTCTTCTATGACATATTTATCGCCCTGAATATATTACTAGGCTACATGAAAGTCTGACCAGAGACAACCAGAACAGCTTTCTTATTTAATTCACAACACCATGTAAATAAGTCAAACTGATCTTATAGGTTTGTCTGCCATATTTTAGTCCCGTATTCAACAAATTATCTATTCAACAGTTCTCAGAACCCTTTTTATTTTTTTGTAGAACTAGGAGGACCTTTGTTTTGACTGTACCTTTTACGACCTTAGACATTCCTCCATGTCCAAGATTCGAACCGGTGACTTCTCAGACATATGTTTGGAGTATTGCCAGTTGAAATAGATCGTCCGTTTTTAAAATCAAAGAACCTTACAAATAACACTATTTTTAATAGAATGAGTATTCTGTGGATAAAAAAATTCAATGAAAAAAACGTTACACTAAATTTTAAATTACGAAAAATCTAATTTACGTATGTGAATTATACATGACTAATTATACTATAAAAATCAAAATGTATTTTGGTATAGTCTTGGTGCCTAAATGATAGTCGTAAGTCGTAACCAATGACATTACAACAGTAATTGTACACTTCTGTTATGTTTGGTATAGTTCTTAAAGCTGTAAGACCATGATTATCCAGATTTCTTAAAAAGGTTTTTAAAATTAATGAAGCATTTAATTAAATCAAAACTAAATAATGATGCATTTAATTAACCCAAAATACATGTCTCTCATTTTTTTTCTATGTAGTCACCACTTAACTTTTCCCAGTTAAGCACAGAAAAGAACTAGTAACCATTTTATAAAAAAAATCGTCTTAATAAAGATCATTATAAGCCTTGTTTGTCACCTGATAGAACTATTTGCTTTGGCCTCATCATAAAAGCATTTCCAAAGAAAATTCTATTTTTTAAAGGAAATAGTTCTATAAGAGACTTGTGTTTTACTCTAAACATATTCTATTTTGGAATGAAAATAGAGTAATTACAAAATAAAATCATATTTCAATTATAGAGTAAACTTTTTTTATTCTATTATAGTAGAAAATGAAATAGTGTTTAGAGATTTTTTACTTTAGTCTCTATTTCTGAATAATGGTGATTAGCAATGCTTTAAGTTCATAACTCTACTGTATTAAAAAAAGTTTCAACACAAAACTCAATTCCTTATGTTTACACTGAAAAATACATAAATTATAAAAGCAAAAAATAAACCACAATATCCATGGTTCTAAAAATTAGTCTACGAGACAAATCGGTTATAGCCGAAATGATTTTTTTAAAATGGTTTATACCAATCATAGCGGATTAATCCATTACAAATCGATTTAAATCTTTTTAATCCGTTTAAATTGATATAAATTAGTCTAACTATCTGAAATTAAATAAAATGCTAGTACAAATTCAAAAACTTGTTAATTTATTTTGTTTTATATGTCTAATTTGAC